AGGGACTCTTTGGAGGTGTCTGGTGGCTCTGAGAGAATAGTTGTGCCATGGTATACAGCAGGGGAAGTTACAGAGAGGCAACTGCAGACTAAATGGCCAGGATAGGAAAGGGGTCTCTTCATCTTCTGTCATCACTTTGAAAACTTGGGACTGGGGTGGGTGGGATGGGGAAAGGACTAAAAGGAAAAGCCATCAAAGAAGGCTAAGTGCAGGGGATAGAGAGTAGAGTGAAAATGGGAGTGACACCGAAGCCTGAGGGCCTTAGAGATCCCCAGGCCTCCACAAGGAATAGGAGGTACCTGACTGGAGAAACTGGCTTGGGGGTCGGCAGATCTGACAGTGATGGTTATTGACTCCAACTCCCCTGGCGCCCAACCCTGGGCACTCCTCAGCAGCAGCACCAGCAGCATTGGCACTAGCAGCCTCTGTGAGTCTTTCTAAAATTGCTTTGGGCTTAATGAGTTCTTTGCCTGGGAATAGAAAGGGGTAAGAACAGAGTGGGGATTGGGAGGAGGGGGAGAGAGAGAGAGGGCAAGAGGAACACAGAAGAGCAAATGGTTGGGGTGTGGGGAAAGTCAAAACACCTACAGAGACCAACATTTCAGTGTCTCCTACCCCCCTGAGAAGAGTTTGTCTGGGCCTCCCATGTTTGTCCCTGAGGACAAAAAAAGAGGGCACAGGCTGGCACTCCCAGTCCAGGAACCTCTCCCAACCCCTGCCAGCCCCTGCTCACTCACTTGGTTGTTTGCATGGTCGACGAACACTGGCAGTGAAGGGACTGATGGCTGGTTGAGTGGCGGGGCCGGAGGTAGTGGGGTGGGTGGTGTGGCCAGCCTTGCTGTTGCCTCCGGAGTTCTGGAGTTCGTGTCTGCGCCTGCATCGAAAGCTCTCCGGCCCCAGGGCCAGGGTGTGCTCACGGAAGAGACGGAGAAGAGCTAGGGTTTTCCGGGCGCCTCTTGTTCCTGCTGTGGCAAGAGGAGTAAGTGCAACAACTGAACCCCGGGCTGTCTGTGCCCCTGCCTGTTTGTTTAGGGAGGCAGTCCTGGCCCCCAGCCAGCACCGAATCAGACAAGGGACCCTAGCCAACATTGCTGCTCCTCCTTCCTCCCTCCCACCACGCCCCCCTGCCTTAGTTGCAGCCTGGAGCAGAGGGAAAGGAAGAGGCAGCTGGAGGAAAAACATAAGTTAGGCGGTCAGGCTCCAGCCAAGAGGACACCTCACAAGACCAGCTAATATTTGGAACGACTTTCTCCCCCACCACCCAGCCCCACTCTAATTCCCTACCCTTCCCCCAGCTCTGCTGCAGTCCTCCTATCAGAAGCCCGCAGAGGAGAAAGGGGTGTGGGGGGAGGGGCAAAACAAGGACCAGGAGACAGCCTGGGAGAGCAGATGCGCTCCTGACTGTATCCAGCTGCTTCTGCCCACTCATTTTTCTTTTCTTTTCTCTAAAGGCCTCATGCCAAGGCACGGGATAGAGATTGGAGAAGGGGAGGGGCAGGGGAAAAAGAGAGAATCCTGCTTGCCTGTGGCCTGTGCCAGAACTGGCAGAGACCCCTGCCCCTTTGAGACAAGCCATAGCCCCTCCTCCCGCTTTTCCTCTACTCCGGCCCCCAAGACCCCCTCCCTGGGGATTGAGCCAGTCTTTTATTTTGCTAATGATGAGAGTTTGCCAATGGAGCACCCAGATGAATCTAAATTCCAAGGTAGCCCCCACCCTTTGGCCCAGCCTCCAGGCCTCTCTCCCTTAACCAGACCAGAAATTTCTATGAGGAATAAAAATTCCTACCATAATCCAACACCCTCCCTAACTCGTCCATTTCAGCCCATTCCTCTCTCAGGATCAGGGCTGAGCTGAATGGAGAGTTTCAAGACAAGCGAGCGGTATACTGGCTCCTCTTCCGTCTTCATTTCTGACTTGCTGTAGGGCTGGCGGAGTGGAGTGGTTTCCTCAGTGGACTTCATGGCGACAGTGAGAGTGGAGGGAAGTGGTGACAAACACAAAGGTATACAGGGACCCCAGAGTTCAGCTCTACAGAGCTGGATTCTTAACCTCTCAAAAAATGGCAGATAAGAACTTGGGCACTTGGGGATTTTCAGAGTGGAGAGGTTAGAAGCAGCAGCTTCCTCTCTCTGCCCGCCCCTTTTCCCTTCCCCTCACCTGTGCTACCCCTCATCCACTCCAGCACATTTGCTTCTTGCGTCCCTAAATCTGCCTATCTCTTTCATGCATGGTTCTTTTCTTCTGGACACTGCTGTAGCCACTCCAGCTGTATATCAACGACTTCTTCTGTATCTATCTCTAATGCCTCACTACTTTCTGAGAGCCTTCCTTGATGCCTTTCCTCTAAGATAGGGTCCTGTCCTCTGCATTCTCATAACCTGCTTTAGGTTTTTTTCCTAGAATACTCTTCATACTCCTCGCTCCAGCCGTGCTCCTGGCATTGAGTGGGCACTCATAAGCTACCAAACAAACACAAGTTATAACACCTTGTGATTAGCAGATCTCTCACTTTTCAGAATACAGTCTTCTGCTTCCCTTAATTCTAACCTAAATCCTACCTGCTTTGTTATCCTAATTAGACTGATGCCAGCTCCCACAATGCCTCAGCCTTTTCGTATTTGCCACTGGCTGGTGAGGTCTAACTAAAGACAAACTGGTGACTAGTCTTGCAAATGCAGCCACAGCAGAAGCAGTTTGCCAGGTTTCCTGGAATAATTCTTCCATCCTCAAGGCACGGCCTCTTCTTGTTCCTCATAGGTCAGGTCTTTAAAGATTCTACCAAGATACCAAAAGCAATGCAAAAACAAAAATTAAAATTGCCTGCAATCCCAGCACTGTGGGAGGCCATGGCTGGTGGATCACTTGAGGTCAGGTGTGTGAGAACAGCCTGGCCAACATGGTGAAATCCGTCTCTACTAAAAATACAAAAAGTAGCCAGGCGTGGTGGAGGGCGCCTATAATCCCAGCTACTAGGGAAGCTGAGCCAGGAGAATCGCTTGAATTTGGGAGGCAGAGGTTGCAGTGACCTGAGATCGTGCCACTGCACTCCAGTTTGGGTGACAGAGCAAAACTCTGTCTCAAAATAAATAAATAAATAAAATAGAAATAGAAAATAAATAAAAATTGACAAATGAGACCTAGTTAAAGAGCTTCTGTACAGAAAAATAAACTATCAACAAAGTAGGCATAATCTACAGAATGGGAGAAAATATTTGCATACTATGCATCCAACAAAGGTCTAATATCCACAATCTATAAGAAACTTGAATTAACAAGCAAAAACCCACAACCACATTAAAAAGTGGGCAAAGAACATGAACAGACCCTTTTTAAAAGAAGACATGCATGCAGCCAACAAGCATATGAAAACTCATTCAACATCACTCATCATTAGAGAAATGCAAATCAAAACCACAATGAGATACTATCTCACACCAGTCAGAATGGCTAGTATCAAAAAGCCAAAACAAACAAACAAACAAACAAAAAACATGCTGGCAAGGCTGTGGGAAAAAGGGAATGCTAGCACACTGCTGGCGGGAATGTAAAATAGCTCAGCTATTGTGGAAAGCAGGGTAGGGCCAGGCATGTAATTCCAGCACTTTGGGAGGCCAAGCCAGGAGGATCACTTGAGACAAGGAGTTTGAGACCAGGCTGGGCAACAGAGCAAAACCCTGTCTCTATAAAATAAAAATCATAATAACATTAGCCAGGCATGGTGGCAAGCCCCTGTAATCCTAACAATTTGGGAGGCTGAGGTGAGAGGATCACTCACTTGAGCCCAGAAGTTTGAGGCTGCAGTGAGCTATGATCATGCCACTACACTCCAGCCTGGGTAATAGAGACCCTGTCTCTAAATAAATAAATAAATGCAGTGTGGTAGTTTCTCAAAGAACTCAAAATAGAATTACCATTCGAGCTAGCAATTCCCATTGCTGAGTATACACTCAACCAAAGGAATATAAATTGTTCCATTATGAAGACACATGCACACCTATGTTCATTGCAGCGCTATTCACAATAGCAAAGATGTGGAATAAACCTAAATGACCATCAACGATAGACTGGATAAAGAAAATGTGGGGCCAGCTGCAGTGGCTCACGCCTGTAATCCCAGCACTTTGGTAGGCCAAGGCAGGAGGATTGCTTGAGCCCAGGAGTTCAAGACCAGTCTGGGAAACATGGTGAAACCCTATCTCTACTAAAAATACAAAAATTAGCCAGGTGTGGTGGTGTGTACCTGTAGTCTCAGCTGCTCCGGAGGCTGAGACAGGAGAATCGCTTGAGCCCAGGAAGCAGAGGTTGCAGTGAGCTGACATCATATGCCACTGCACTCCAGCCTGGGTGACAGAGCCAGACCCTGTCTCATTAATAATAATAATAAAACTGTGGCGCATATAAACGTAGAATACTACATAGACATAAAAAGCCCTCATGCAGTGAGTGGCTCATGCCTGTAAATCCCAACACTTTGGGAGGCCAAGGCGGGTGAATCACTTGAGGCCAGGGGTTTGAGACAAGCCTGGGCAACATGGTAAAACTCCATCTCTACTAAAAACACAAAAATTAGCCGGCCATGGTGGTACACATCTGTAATCCCAGCTATTCGAGAGGCTGAAGCATGAGAATCCCTTGAGCCCGGGAGGTGGAGGCTGCAGTGAGCTGAGATCATGCCACTGCACTCCAGCCTGGGCAACAGACCAAGAATTGGTCTCAAAAAAAACAAAAAAAAGAATACTACAGAGTCTTTAAAAGGGGCAAGATCATGTCCCTTGCAGCAACATGAATGGAACTGGAGGTTATTATCCTAAGTGAACTAATGAGGAACAGAAAATCAAATACTGCATGCTCTCATTTATAAGTGGGAGCTAAATGATGAGAACACATGGACACAGAAAGGGAAACAACAGACACCAGGGCCTACTTGAGAATGAAGGTTGGAAGGAGGGAGAGGATTGAAAAACTACCTGTCAAGTACTGTGCTTATTACCTGGGTGACTGAATAATCTGCACATCAAACCCCCATGACATTCAATTTACCTATAGAACAAACCAGCATGTGTACCCTGAACCTAAAATAAAAGTTAAATAAGCCGCATGCAGTGGCTTATGGCAATAATACCAACACCTTGGGAGGCTGAGGCAGGTGGCTCACCTGAGGTCAGGAATTCCAGATCAGCCTGGCTAACATGGCAAAAACCCGTCTCTACTAAAAATACAAAAATTAGCCGGGCATGGTGGCGGGCGCCTATAATCCCAGCTACCCAGGAGGCTGAGGTTGCAGTGAGCTGAGATTGCACCATTGCACTCCAGTCCTTGGTAGCCCTGTACATGTGTGAGCTAGTGGGTCTTGCCCTCTCCATACTGGAGGGCTAGAACTCTGTCCACATCTTGGGAGCCTGTTCCACACACTCTGTACCTGTCTGGCCAAGTGAAAAGTCTCCGTAAATCCAGAATCTGGCCCCAAACCATTTTTGTGAACTCTTTTCCCACTCCGTTTCTCCTGCCACCTCGGGCTACTCCCTGTTCCCCCAAAACAGCATCATGTACCCCTCCCTCTGTCTTTCCTTAAGCCATTCCTTCTGACTAGAATGCCTGCCTTTCCCTCTCCCTCCTGCTCTCCCTTTCTGCAAACTTTTCCCTCACCATACACACACATCGGTTCATCTTTCAAAGCCCAGTTAAAATGGCTCCTCCTCTGTGAGACCTTTCTTACCTGGTCAGAATGTATCCCTCCTTTTTCCCTGTCACCCCCAGCAGTTGATAGTTCTGTTTACCACGGACTTCATTCTCCCCTGTGTACTGATTATTTGTTTACTCATCTATTCCCCACTGGCCAGTAAACACCTTTGGGATTTACTCAACTTGGTGTCCCACCCACCATTCACTTCTCTCACACCTACCACGGCAGCCTTGCCTCTATCACACAGTGCCTGGCAACTAGTTTGTGGTGAGTTAATGTTTACTAAGCAAATGAATGGCTCCCTTATCTTTTCCCTAGCACCATGGAAGGCTCAAGAAAAATTCTGGCCCATGTGTTGTAGAGGACCCCTGCTTCCATGTCCACTTCTTTTT